AAACACCATTTCTGTTGGTTGGGTTCCCCCCCCTTCTGGGTTTGTCAAACTTAATAGTGATGGATCTGCCCTTGGAAATCCAGGCATGGCTGGAGCTGGGGGTCTTCTTCGGGATCACTTAGGCAGGTGGATTATTGGGTTTTCACGGAATATTGGATGGACTACTAGCATAGCTGCTGAGTTATGGGCCATCAGAGATGGTTTGGAAGTTGCTATCTCCAAAGGGTTCTCTAAAATTATTGTTGAAACTGACTCAAAAATTGCTACTATCCTTATTGAGTCTGCTGATATTTCTCTTCACTCACTTGGCATCCTTATCTCTGATTGCAGATCACTTCTGGGATGTTTTGCTGATGCTCAGATATCCCATATTTATAGGGAAGCTAACACGGCTGCTGACTTCATGGCTAAGCTTGGAACTTCCTCTGCCACGAATTTTGTTTTGTATGATGGGAGCCCTCCTGGGATCTCTTCCTTTTTGTATCATGGCTGTATTGGGACTGTGTTCCCAAGAATTGCTGTAGCCGTTTAATCCTTTATATTTCATATCTCTATTTACCAAAAAAAAAAAAAACAATATTTTTTTAAAATTAATGACAATCATAAGAATGAAGTAAGCTCATCATCAACTAATCATTGGCTCATATAGGTGAGATTAGGAAAAGTTGTCCTAAAATAGAGAGGGAGATGTTTTCTTCATTGCCATTGGCCAACTTAACCATGGCAGGGTCTTAACTAAGCAAATTCTAGTATTCCGACAACTGCTAAGGCAGTTGGCACAAGTGCACATCTTCTTTTTGTTTTTTGTTTTTTTTAAATCTAATTATGTTATATATAAAATAAGATAGTCATCACTTATTTTTAAATTTTGTTTTATTTGATTCAAAACTCAAATTCAAAAACTTCAATTTAGAGTTTTAAGTTTTCAATCGATAAATCACTTATTGAAGCTTACACATCTTCACACATCTTCTTTGTAAATAATAAGAAGAATTACTTTGTTAAGTT